ATCCCCTTCCTCAGGGACAGGAATCTCACCTGGCACATTCAGAGCTGGTCGAAGCTCAGTTGTAAAGCTGCTCTAGGAAAGGAGAAGGTTGGGAGTGTTCCTCCTGCCAGGAGTGTTCCCTCCTCAGGCCAAGCCGAGCAATAATTCCTGAGCTGAGGGATAGTGGTTAATGAAGAAGTTTGGCAGGAGAAATGGAGAAAATCCAGAGAATCAAAGTTTTCAGATCAACCAGGTGGATTTAGGAGTTTCTTGGGACTTTTAATTTGGGGAGAACCCAAATCGGTTGGAAATGAGCTGTTGAGGGGGAAAGGGCTGTTTGGGGCTCACCTGGCCTTGGTGAGGCTTGGTTTGGATTTTTTTAGAATAAATTTACACCCAAAGGACAAGCAAACCCCTGATTAGCACCTCATGGGGCTGCACTTGGTGCAGAGGGCTCTCCGTGAAGCTGGGGGAGACCAGGAATTGTTGGAATTGAGGGTCTGACCTGTGTCTCCTCCTTTCAAAGCCTCTGTTCTTCCTTCCAGGACCTGAAGCTTGCTCCTGGAAGCCACCCTCAGAGCAAGGTGCTGCCACCTCCTCGTGCCAGGTACCATGGGGGGGACAGAGGGGCAGCCAGGGAGGAGCCAATGGAGAATTTTGGCTGCTCCACCCTGTGCTTTCACCTCCCAGAGACCTTTTTTGGTAGTTTTGGGGCAAATTTTAGGGAAAATAGTGTTAAAATGGCATTTAAAATAATGGTATTGAAAGCAGTCAGTTAATGGGATGGAGAAGTCCAATTTTAGGGAAAATAGTATTAAAATGGCATTTAAAATGGTATTGAAGCCAGTCAGGTGATGGGATGGAGAAGGCAAATTTTAGGAAAAATGAAATGGCATTAGAATGGTATTGATATGGTATTAAAATGGCATTAGAATGGTATTGAAACCAGTCAGCTGAATGGATGGAGAAGTTCAATTTTAAGGAAAATAATATTAAAATGGCATTAAAATGGGATTAAAACCAGTCAGCTGATGGGATGGAGAAGTCCAATCTTAGGGAAAATAGTATTAAAATGGCATTTAAAAGGGGATTGAAACCAGTCAGCTGATGGGNTCCCTCCTTGCAGGAAGGCACCAGGGACACCAACCTGTAGTAACAAAAAGCCAAAAGAAAATTCCTGACTCAGGATTGCCCTTGGGGGAATCCACATCCTCAAATCCCAGTCTGATGCTGGCTGGGATCCATCTTCCTTTGCCTCAGCAATTCCTGCTGGGAAGTGACACCAGAGCCTCTTTTTGGGGTAGTTTACATCAAACAGGGTATTGCAGAGTTGCTGAGGTTGGAGAAGACCTTTAAGGTGAGGATCTTCAAGTGCAGCCATCCACCCAGCACCACTAAACCATGTCCCCAGGTGCCACATCCATGAGGTTCTTGAGCACTTCCAGGGGTGGTGACTCCAAGGTTTAGGAGCTGTCACCCTTGATGGTGGTCCCTTGGGAAAGCCCTGAGGTTTGCAGAGGACAGAGAAGAGTCAAGAGTAACTGGTGGTTGTTCTTTCCTTCTCCACCACCCTCAGGGGAAGGTGCTGATTGCCCAGATCACTGCTGAGAACGAGAAATTACTCCAGGAGAGGCGACGGCTCCTCCAAAAAATCTCAGACCAGGAGGAGTCCCCGTGGAGCCTCCGCTCTGGGATTCCCTCCCTGCAGAGCAGGTAGGCCCCTGCATCCCCCATCCTCCCTTTTCCTGGTTTTGTGCCTCTTTCTCTTAAGAATTCCAGAGGAAAGTCTGGACTGTAATCATGGCTGTAATTAGGGATGTAATTAGGGATTTAATTACCCCATTTTCCCATCCAAGACCTCTCCACTGAGCTGGAGGCTGTGGAGAGCAACAGCTCTGAGGTTGGAAAAGAAAAGTCCTGTTGGAAAATGGGGCATGGCTTGGAAGGAGAATAACCTGTGCTTTGTGCCATCTCAGAGGGAAGACCCTTGAGGAGGAGAACGCACGGCTGCAGGACAAGCTCCAGCTCTCCAGCCTTGTGGGCTCCTCCCAGCGCCTGGCCAGGAGCAGCCCCGCTGCCAGCACTGAGGTGAGACCCAGCAGGGCTGGGAGCAGCAGCAGTCACAGAACTGAGGGGCTGAGGGGGAGCTGGGTCCATGCCTTGAGGTGGAAAGGGCTCCTGGGTAGTTGGTGGTGACAGATGTGGTGAGGAGGGGATTTGTGAGGAGCTGAGGGCTCCATACAGGTGAGGAAGGGCTTTGTGAGGAGTTGAAGGCTCCATACAGGTGAGGAAGGGCTTTGTGAGGAGTTGAAGGCTCCATACAGATGTGGTGAGGAGCTGAGGGCTCCATACAGATGTGGTGAGGAGCTGAAGGCTCCATGCTAGTGGGGAGAGGCTCTGTGAGGAACTGAACCTCCATACAGATGTGGTGAGGAGGGGCTCTGTGAGGAGCTGAGGGCTCCATACAGGTGAGGAGGGGATTTGTGGGCAGCTGAGGGCTCCATACAGATGTGGTGGGGAGAGGCTTTGGGAGGAGCTGAAGGCTCCATACAGGTGAGGAGGAGCTTTGTGAGGAGCTGAGGGCTCCATACAGATGTGGTGAGGAGCTGAATCTCCATGCAGATGTGGTGAGGATGAGCTCTGTGAAGAACTGAGGGCTCCATACAGATGTGGCAAGGAGCTGAGGGCTCCATACAGATGTGGTGAGGAGGGGCTCTGTGAGGAGCTGANCAGGTAGGAATGTTTGAAATCTCAGATTATATCCAGGCAGGAATGCTTGGCTCCTCCCTCTGGGCTCACATCTCCCAATGGGATGCTGCAGTTCTTATCGGCCATGCAGTGACATTCAATGGCTGTTATCAGCAGATGTCTCCCCAGAGGGAGGAGTGATTGTGATCACTCACAGAGAGATAAGGAAAACTGCCCACAGATGGCAATAGAACAGACCTTGCCCTGCAATCTGGGACACCCCTGCAGCTCTCACTGTCCCCGTGGTGTTCCCAGGAGGCTCCTGGAGCAGCAGGTGGAGGAGCTGAGGCAGCAGCTCCGGCATTCCCGGGAGACGGAGGCGTCGCTGGCCAAGATGCACGTGGAGCTCCAGGCCAAGACCCTGCACGTCCTGGAGGATGAGAAGAAGCTGGATGCTGGTGAGGTGAGTCCCACTGAGGGGGTTCCTCATCATACAAGGGGCAGCAGGAGCATCAGGAGCTGCAGTCTGTTCCTGGGTGTTGTGGGGGTGTTGGGTCCCCAGGATGAGGTGAGAGATGAGAATTTGACTCCAAGTTCTCAGAGGGCTGATGTATTAAACCCAGCCCTTTTCCAGCATGTGCAGTGCCAGAAGGAGAACCAGAAGCTCTCAGAGCAGCTGATGCTGCTGAAGGAGGAGAACAAAGCCCTGTATGAGGAAGGTGTCAGACTCCTGAACCAGAAGGATCTCTATGTCAGGTAATGCCCACGAACCTGCCTGGGCCTGCTATAGCATTTGGCTGTGCTGTGGACTTTCCTGTCCAGTATTCAGCTTTTAGCACTAAATCCACTGGCCCTGTGTGCAGTGAGCTCACCCCCCGTGTCTGCTGTCAGAGAATTCCACACAGGTTTGGCTGGGAAGGGATCTTAAAGCCCATCCTGTTCCACCAGGGACACCTTCCACTGCCCCAGGCTGCTCCAAGCCCTGTCCAACCTGGCCCTGGGCACTGCCAGGGATCCAGGGGCAGCCACAGCTGCTCTGGGCACCCTGTGCCAGGGAAGGATTTCCTTCCAATGTCCCATCCATCCCTGCTCTAGTCCTGTCCCTCCATCCATTGTCCCCAGTCCCTCTCCAGCTCTCCTGGAGTCCCTTTAGGCCCTGCAAAGGGCTCTGAGCTCTCCCTGGAGCTTTCTCTTCTCCAGGTGAGCGCTCCCAGCTCTCCCAGCCTTCCCAGTCTCCTTAGGTGTGTTATAAACCTCTGAGAACTTATTAGACCTGGCTCAAAGAAGCTCCTAAACAGTGACCCCGAGCCAAAGTGCCTTTCCCAGCCTGATGTTTGTCCCTGTTTGCCCAGGAAATACAACGAGATGCAGCTCAGACACAAGGACAAGATCCGCAGGGCCAAGGAGACTTTCATCCACGAGGTGAAACAGAGGGACAGCAGGATCAAACAGCTGGAAAACGAGCTCAGCGAGTCCAAACTCCAAGTGGAAAAGGTGAGAGGGCACATCCAGGGCTTCTCCTGCAAGGGGAGGCTGCAGGGGCATCGCTGCTTCCAAAAGCATTCCCTGGTGGCCAAGAAGGGCCAATGGCTCCTGGCTGGGTCAGGAATGGTGTGGAGCAGGAGCAGGGAGCTCATTCTGCCCTTGGCACCTTGAGACCTGTGTCCAGTTGTGGCCTCTCAGTTTGGGAAGGACATTGAGACACTGAGCACATCCAGAGGAGACAACAAGGCTGGAGAGGGGCTGGGAGCACAAACCCTGTGAGGAACCACTGAGGGAGCTGGAGGTGCTCAGCCTGGAGGAGACTCAGGGGTGACCTTGTCACTCTCTGCAGTTCCTGAAAGGTGCCTGAGCTCAGCTGGGGCTGGGCTCTTTCTCCAGCAGCACTGACACAACCAGAGCACACAGCCTCGAGAAATACAGGTTGGATATTAGGAAAAGTTTTTTTACAGAAAGAGTGACAAATTTCTGGCATGGCTGCCTGGGGAGATGGTGGAGTCGCCATCCCTGGGTGTGTTTAACAAAGCCTGGACATGGCACTGGGTGCCAGGGTTTAGTTGAGGTGGTGGAGCTGGGTTGGACTCGATGAACTTGAAGGTCTCTTCCAACGTGGTGATTGTGTGATTTGGTGATTCTGTGATTTGGTGGTTCTGTGAAAGTGATCATGGATTCAGGGAATGGTGTGAGTTGGAAGGGACATTAAAGCTCATCCCATTCCATCCCTGCCATGGCAGGGACACCTTCCACTGTCCCAGGCTGCTCCAAGCCCCATCCAACCTGGCCTTGGACACTTCCAGGGATGGAGCAGCCACAGCTGCTCTGGGCACCCTGTGCCAGGGCCTGCCCATCCTCACAGGGAACAATTCCTTCCCCATACCCCATCTGACCCTGCCCCCTGGCAGTGGGAGCCATTCCCCTTGTCCTGGCACTCCAGGCCTTGTCCAAACTCCCTCCTTGCAGGAAGGCACCAGGGACACCAACCTGTAGTAACAAAA